AGTCTAGAAAAGTTTTAGTTCTTTTCCCCTAGGCTCATGTATTCTGTAGAACCTCACAGTTTGGGGTCTACTAATATATGCCGTTTGTAGTCCATAAACACATTCTGTTTTATCGTTCACTGGATTTCTAACATTAAATTTAAAGCGCTTCTATCACCGGGATTTCTTAAATGGCACTTAACCAGTAGAGATTACCTCTGTGTACTGCCAACCAGGGCTGATGCCATTTTAGTAACTGTCAGTCTAATGGAGGGAAGGAGATAATCACATCCATCATCCCTCTACTTCACCTACTCTTAAGTGTCACTTTAGGTGTCATAAAATATCCCGTAACACTGTCACAGTTCACATTCAGAATCATGAGAGCTAATATTTAATATGTTCCCAAGAAATAATTACGTAACTTGAGGCTTGCAAAATAGGTACAGAAATTTTTTTAATGGCGAGACAAATATGTTTGTTGACTGATGAGATGCATCAGGATGAAGACTTAATGATTCTCATAGGTCTGGAAATTTAATCCAGGCATTTCTGTTCTCAATCTATTGCAAAAAAGCTTTTAAAAATAAGAACTGAAACTACACTAATTCCATCTTTCCCAAACTTCAAGTGGATGTTAAAGTGACAAAATCAATAGTTTAATTATTAGCTAATCAAAGATGATTCATAACTTTCAGCAGAAACTCTCCCCAGTGCAGAACGTTCTCTGAACATTTGAGTTTGAGCACCATGCTTCTACACACCAGAGTATGGTCTTAAACAACCTATCAATTTCTCTGGAGACAAAAAAATTTTGTAGCATTTTTTTCTTTTAAAATTCTGGCACTCTTTTTTTTAAAAAAATTTGCTGTTGCTGCCTCTTATTAATAAATTGTTTGCATGAGAATATAATGATTTTAGTATGGTAATGGGATTGAGAACATGCTTTCCCAGGATATGGCACCTTTACACTTGAAAAAACAGTAAAGACAGAAACCACGCCCATTTTTTTCCTCATCTTCTGACCTGAGAAAAGACTGTCATTTGAGAGGTATCATCTGCACACCCAGAGGAAGGGATCATCCTTATATCTGAAGACACAGGAACGCCAAGAAGGATCCTGAGCAACCAGACCTTGCTAAGTTCCTGAGTTTGTTACCATTATATCATACCTGCTTGGTCTAATCAGACTTTTTGGTGATTATCTACCTCTCCATCAAATTCAAGCACGAAAATATGCAAGCTAACCTGTTTCTTTGGTCTTCACTTCTAAGAGCTCCCATATCGCATAAAACATTAAAAAATTGGTATACTTCTTTTTAATCTGTATTTTGTTACAGGTGCTTCAGCCATCAGCCACGTGCAGTGGACAAGGAAAAGATATGTTTCATTTTCTATGTTAAATAAAATTTATAGGAGCCCACAGATTTGGACTGACTTCCTACACTAGGTTCCAAGAGACCAAACAAAAATGGAGTCACTCATGCTATAGTCCGGCGCCACCAAGCTGGGACTATGCTGATCATCTGATCTTCTGGGACATTGGACAGAGACACAGCAGTAATAGTCACATAACCAAACAGGCCAGCGTTAACCAGCACCATGAGGAAGTCCCCTCTACTTTGACCTTTCCAAGGAAAGTAACATTGAAACAACCAATCTGGTTTTGGTTCCCTGTTTCTGCTTTCTTCAGCCGCTTTCTGTCCATAGACACTGCCTAGCTTCTGGAGTGGAGTTCTCTGTACCCCTTCTGGCTCTGAGGGGCTCCCTGATTTGCAAATTGTTCTTTGAGCAAATAAACTCTGATAAATTTGTTTCATCTAAAGTTTTCTTTAGTCAAATAGTATTAATATACATTTAAATATTAAGTATTTAAACATTTAGTGGCTTGGGTCAAATACAACAGTAACTAATGATTTTCTTTTTAAAACACTTTTTTTTTTTGAGGCAGAGTCTCACTATGTCATCTTCAGTAGAGTGCTATGGCATCATAGCTCACAGCAACCTCAAACTCTTGGGCTTAAGCGATTCTCTTGCCTCAGCCTCCCAAGTAGCTAGGACTACAGGCACCTGCCACAATGCCTGGCTATTTTTGGGTTGTAGTTGTCGTTGTTTAGCAGGCCCGGGCTAAATCAGTTGCAGAACTAAATTTTGTCATGATAAAACACACGTGATTATGTGATTCTTTAGAAATGTGTTCCAAATTCCCCTTAGATCAGCTCTGGGCAACTTTTTCAACATTGACTTCTACAATTCTTCTATCTAAGCAACCCCTTTAATCTGGCCTTAAAGAATGTTCTCCCCAGTATTCTCCATTGATCCTAAAAGAACTAGCAAAAATTACACTTTCTGAGGCCATCTTGGACCTCATTCATATATTCACATCTTAAAGCAACATTTTCTGAACAACTACTAGTTCTGATTTAAACCCTCCTTAAAAGGCCAGTTGGAGGTCTTTTAAGAGTGCCTGTGGCTCAGTGGGTAGGGCACCACCTCCCTATACCGAGGGTGGCGGGTTCCAACCTGGCCCCGGCCAAACTGCAACAAAAATATAGCTGGGTGTTGTGGTGGGCACCTGTAGTCCCAGCTACTCAGGAGGCTGAGGCAAGAGAATGGCCTAAGCCCAGGAGTTGGAGGTTGCTGTGAGCAGTGTGATGCCATGGCACTCTACTGAGGGCGATAAAGTGAGAGTCTGTCTCTACAAAAAAAAAAAAAAAAGACCATTTGGAATCAGGGAAGGTTATTAATTCATTGCATTTGAAAAATAATTCTCTGGTGATTGAGATTCTTGGTATCAGTTATGGGAGTAGGGGTGGGGTGGAGGTGGGAGCAGTGACACCAATTAGAAGGCCTTCACAGTAGCCTAGTAGCAAGAGGAGGGCAGGATTTTGAAGATATTAAAGAGGTGCCATTTTTAGGACTTAATAATTGATTGAAATTAGATAAATCATTTCAGACTCACAGAAGGACAATAATAAAAATATACACAAAGCACTATAGGAGAGTGAAGAAGGATATCAGTGCTACATGTCCAAAAAAGCCTTCCTAAGGATGTATTACCACAAGACAAGCCTTGAAGAAAAAGTTTGCAAGGTAGAGTGGGAGGAGGAGAGTGCAGCTGGAGGGAGTGGCATGGTTAGTGGCTGAAAGGGCAGAGAGGCCATGGGGTGTGTATCCAGCAAATTGCAAGAAGTTTGATTTTCCCAGATCACCATTAAAGATGGGTAGGGGTGGAGGCTCTTTAGAAAGGAAGGCAGAAAAACAGAGTTGCCCTATCCCAAGTCATTTCCACCCCAAGTCATTTCCACCTTATTCTGAAAGGTATGGGGTCAGCCCATGAAGGACTTTAAGCAGGTAGAGTGATGCAAATAGATTTCTAATTTAGAAAGAACTTTCTGGCTGGAATATGGAGAGGCAGACTAGTTAGGGGATTATAGGCGTAATCAGGAAGAAATGATGAAGACCTGGATACTTTATGGGTAGAGATGGAGAGGGGGTCGTGTGAGAGAGGTCAAAATCCTGGGATTGACAAGATTGGTACCGGATTGGATGGAGAGCACCAAGCCAACTTTTAAGACTTGTAAAGGGGCGAGTGATGCCATCCTTCAAGATGGGGAATGTGTTTGAGGAAGAAGAAAGTGAGCTTCATTTTGGACATGGAGCGTTTGAAATGCCTGTAGGGCACCAAAGAAGAAACGTCAACACAAATATGAATGAAGATGCCTGGAGCTCTGAGGAAACAGCTGAGCCCGAGATTTAGATTTTGGTCATCAGCATTTAGTTAGGTGTTTAAGCCATGGGAGCGTGTGAAATAAATCAGTAAGAGAAGAGAAGAGGATGAAAAGTGGAATATAGCAATATGTAAGCAGTTGGAAGAGCAGGAGGTAGGAAAGGAGGGGCCTGAGCAGGGGGAGCAAAAGCAGAGCAGAAGGGTAGTATCACTGAAGGCGAAGGAGAAGGAGCCCCTGTCCAGCAGGGCCAAATACTTAGATCAAGGAAGATGAAGCCTGGAAATGTTCACTAGCTTTAGGGACAAGTGACCTTGGCACAAGTAGTTAAGTGAAGGAGGGAGACAGAAGGTAGTGGGTTGAGGAATGCTTGAGAATTAAGAAAGTGCAGGGATCTCTTCCAAGAAGCTTAGATGGGGGGAATGAAAAACAAAAGACAGAGCCTCAACTGTGCAGCAGGATGCCAAACCCTGAGAGGGCTGCCAAGTTCGGAAGGTTTGGGAGTATCTAAAAGCGAGGGTGGAGGGGCTGGTGGAGGAGAGAATGAAGAGCCAGCTAAGACAGGGCACAGAGAGGCCAGCACAGGCAGGACAGGACGCAGCAGGAGGGCTGGCAGCCGTCACACAGGGAGGGGAAGGACCAGCTCCGCCTTTCAGAGAACAGGGAAGGAGAAGAGGACGGGTGTGGCCACAAACAGGATGCCCATGACTGGGTAGGGAGTGGAGGGAATCTGGGCCTGGCGGTCACAACTGCTGTGTGAAATGGAAAAGGAAGTCATTTAATGAGGGAGGGGCACGTGATAGATTGAGGAAGAGCTTAAAAGAGTGGAGAAGACTTGAAATAATTGTGGGAAATAAAAGAATGAGAATAGGGAACTTTGAGGGACTTTGGAGTTGAAGAAAGCAACATGTGAACGTGTTTATGTGATTTTTGTTGGTGCTTTGCCCTCAGAAGTGGTCAGCAGGGAAGGTGTGGGAGCGGAGAAAGTGGGCCCTAGGTTTAGAGTTTTTGCAAATTGGTGCAATGGAAGGACTTGTGTCCAGGAAGTCAGGGGTGCTGGTCAGCCCCAGAATGATTGAGTTCCTGGGCCACTGAGAGTAAGATGGTGGGAAGGAAGTGAAGGCAGGAAAGGCCTAAGAGACAGAAATGTGAATAAGAGAACTGGGTGAGGATGGAGAGCAGGTGTCCTTGGGAAGCTCTGCAGGACTGTGGACAAATGGCAGTAGAGGAAATGAAGTCACATAGGTTGATGAGCTTCAGGGGAAGGGCCCGGGCTTTCAAACATGTGGACACAGAAGTCAGGCAGGATGATGGCAGGAAAAGCCAAGCTTGCTACTATAACAAAGACTCCAACATTGCGGTGGCTTACCATAACAATAGATCGCCTACAGTCCAGTTGGGGTTGGGCAGCTGTCCCTCCAGCAGTCACCTCTGGGGACTCAGAGATGGGGGCTCTTTCTGGGGGTGACTTTGCCAGCTCAGAATTATACATTTCTCATTAAGATAACCTGATACAAAACACGGAAGAGAGAGCACAAAAAGGGAAATATCACCATCCTTGGGAACATGGCGGCGAACATTTAAAGTCCAGTAGTAATAAAAGAAAAATGTGGCATGACCCTGTTGGTTTATTTTGGGAAGGAAAGAAAAAGGTTACATCTAGCTACGTGGGCCTGGCGGGCCGAACTGGATGGAATGGAAACATTTGCTTCGCTCAGCCTTCCGCAGCTCATCCAAACATTCGTATATCATAAAGTCAGAAATACTGGTCTTCCACTTCGGCAATCAACAATGACATAAATCTGTGAAGACACTGTAAATTGAAATGCGCTCTGGTGGATGGAGGAATTTTCAAGCACACAAAGCCCCATGCTGGGTTAGGACCAAAATGTTTCAAGACATGACACGATTTCTCTTCTCTTGGGACTTTACTAGATAGTTGGGAAAGATGAGCCATGAAAAGACGCACAAGTGGTCAAGACTTACCAGAGGCAGAGACAGGAACACGTTTAGAGGCGAGGGGAAGAGACGATAATATCCAAGCATTGTCTATTGCAGATAAACCAAATCGTTTAATTTTTCTTCTGGGAAACGGGATGACAGCCTTTCCCAGTTCTGAGTCCATCCAGGAGAGCTACGTGATGGAGCTCCGGCCCCTGGAATATGAGCAGAAGTCCTATGTGATCTTTTGATCTTTACCCTTAACCATCTCACTACCTCTCATTCTCTTCCTCTTTGTGTTTTCTTATCTGTTGATTTAAACAATATTTATTACGTGCTTGTTATATGTAGACTAGGTACTGTGCCTTCACGGAGCTTACATTCTAGTTGATGGGTAAGCTTTTGAAATTTCTGTATTTTATGATCTCGTGTTGTCTTAAAAGCCTGCGCTTGGATTTATTAATTCAACTGAGTTTGTTTTCTGATTCATTAACATCTTTCTTTCACCAAATGTTTGTTTTCTTGTTCCTTCCTAGGTTTGTTGAAGGGTTGTTTTTTAAAATTCCATATATTGGCACCTGTGGTATTTCATCTTCTCTTGTTTAATAACGAAAGCATTTGAGGCTAACATGAAGTCATGTCGTGGGTACGTTTAAAGTTTGTTGAATTAACTGTATGTGTATATCTGTGACAGACAGTCCTTAAGATTGCACCGTAGTTACAGTCAAGTCACAGGACAAGCTTCAGCAGTTACAAACCCCACAGAAAGAACATGTGTGTGGTTTTAAAGACTCCACAGCTATCAACCAAGAAATGGAGAGCATTATTTGTTTTAAAAAATGATTACGATCAGGGTAGTTTATGGGTGGTTACAGGTATTTTCACACGCTTTTTTTTTTTTTTTTACTATATGTGATTTTTACTTTATGAGCTATGTAAGATGTGATCCAAAATGATTTATTTGCTGACAGCTGTAATTGTCTCTCATGTGGTTTTAGGTGTAATGTCCTCATCATTTTAACTGAAATATCGTGTACTTAGGTTTTTAGATCTTTGACTTTGTAAGAGTTGATGATTCACTTCATCAGATTCTTTGTTTCAGAAAAGCCCCAGGAAATCTAGGAAATGTTTCAGGAACTCCTCTGGCTTCTAAAAATATATGATTGACATTAGACACACACGCGCACACACACAGCTTTACAAATTGCCACGCTACTCTTTACAGCTCTGCTCCAGGCGTGCTAGAATGTGAATTAGTCATGAGGCTCCGTGTTTGTATCTTCTCAGACTGCTCATATAAAAGGTCCAAAGGAAAAGATCATAATCAGAAGGCTACAGGAACCTTCAGCTCCACCCATATTTGGAGGCACGGCATTCTTACCCACCGTCAGTCAAAGGTTTTAGCCAAAGAAGTGTTAAGATCAAGTATTAGCATGCTTATGATGAGGCCTAAGAGCCAAGAGCGGAGGGTCCTAGGAGGTTCAGGTTTTGAGTAAAAAGGGCTTGATTTAAGCATTCCATTGGAAGTTTTGGAGAATCACTTTTCCCCCAGATCTTTCCTCATTAGGGATATCTACCGATGGGATGGCCCCTAGAGGTGTTAGTGTCCCCAAGTGCTGAAGGGCATAGAAAGGGGACTCCATCAGATCCGACTCAGGTCTCGGCACTGCCACACACTGCGGCAAGCCCTGTGCAAGTTACTCGGGTTCCTCTTCCTAAAATTTATAGATCACAATACTCATGTCTGTGAGGATTAAATAAAATAACACAACGTAAAGCACTTAATCCTGAGCCTCCATCATTTTTCTAGTGTTGTAAGATTGCCAAAAGTTTTGCCTGCCACCTCCCATTGCTGCTGACCTTAATCCTGTATCTAAGCAATGAGCTCAGAGACTGTGGTTGCCTAACCTTAGGTCACACAGCAAGGAGTCACAGAGCAGAGGCCAGGCAGGACTGTCTGTCTTGGTTACCACTGGCCCTCCATCCCCAAGTGCAGTGCCTGGCACGTGGTGAAAACTTAGTACCTTTTTGGTGGATTACCCAACAATTGAACTCTGACTTCAAATCATACATTCTCCCTACTTTATGTCCTCACAGTGTTGTTATGAGGCTCCCATGGAAAATACGAAAGAGCTCCTCACACTGCCACGCTAGTTATCACCTCCGTTGTTTTATCACACGGTAGTGGGATCTGCGAAGTGGCCCCTCTTTTTCTGTGTGACCCTAAGGCATAACTGTCAACAGAACTATAAGAGGGCAGCAGCCCCACTCTTCTGCTCTGAAACGTCTCTTTGTCTTTGGAAGAAGTACTTAGAAAAATTGCAGTCCCATTATTTAAAAAAATTATAATGCTCTCACATGCACCGAGTTATTTTTGCTCAAGTAAGTCAAAAGCTTTCTTGCTGCAAGACTTTATTGAAATAATATGAAATAGACGTCTGATTTTTAATTAGTTCTGTTACCTTAGCCACTTTAACAATGTAAATATTTTATATGGGAAAGGAAAGGTACCTGCTGAATCTCTCGATTCCTCCAAAGCTCACTATGGGGGGTTGTTCTTGGTACTTGGTATGATTACTCTGAGTTAACCTTGCCTGCACTTACTCCAGGTGCCTGAGAAAGTGGGAAAAGAAAAGGCCAGACTTGGGTAGCACTGGGCTCTCACCTTCCTACCCCCAGCCAAGATGGAAAGTCTCAAAGAGTCTCTTCATCCCCTCTTAATCAGCTTCTGAGAAAACAATCAGGGGAATCCATGTTCTCCTGTAGTAACATTATTGATTTGTGCCTATTTCCCTTAACATTTAGAACTATTATCTCCTCTAATGTGACTTCATGAAAATAACTAAGGTTGGTCCAGCAATTACTTTATACCGGGCCCTGTTGTTAATGCTTTATGTGAGGAAAGTAGGATAACGGTCTCCGCTTTATAGATGAGGAAACCGAAACATAGAGAGGTTAGGTAATTTGTCCAAGGTTGGCTAGCTGGTAAGAGACAAAGTTAAGTTAGGAAGCCCTGTCATCTGGCTCTTAGCCACTGAACTCTATTGCCCTTCAGAATGAAGACATTTCCCCCCAAATCTGATAACTGTAGCCAAATTGCTTGGGCAGTTTCCCCCTTAAGTCTGTACATGACTTCACATTGGAGGCACAGGTTAATTTTAAATCACCAGAAGGGATCCTAGTGATTGGCATTGTGTAATAGCAAAGTCTGATATACAATACAACACAGCACTCTAACAACTTAGGTACCATAGCCACTACTAATTAAGGCATGACTTTTCACAAAGCTAAAATTTGTTTTGTTTTTTTTTTTCAGTTTTTGGCCAGGGCTGGGCTTGAACCCACCACCTCTGGCATATGGAGCTGGCACCCTGCCCTTGAGCCACAGGCACAACCCACACAAAGCTAAAATTATGTAGCCAAATTTCTCTGAAAAGAATCATGGCAGCCTTCACGGTATCTGATCACAGACTTTAGAACTTGAAAGGGACTTTAAAAATTACATCACTCAACCTCTGAGTCACTAAGTAATTTGCCCAACACTCCACAAACAGAGCTAGAATTTGAAGCTAAGGTCCTGAAATACCTGGGTCCAAGCGCAGAGCTCTTTAGGATAAGGCTTTCATTCCTTTACTATAAATTTCGTTCTTTCTAGATCTCATGCAGGGCTTTCAGTATTAAAAAGATAGAAATAATTGAAAAATTTCTCTCAATGTGAACTTAGCAAAATGGATAAAAGAGCTTTCTAAGGACCCACTCCCTTCATTAGGAATTTTCTTAGTTCCTTTTGTTACTGATCGAATAAAAGTTTCAGATATTTATCAAGAACTGCAAAGGATCTGAGATTTTATCTGCAAGCTAGTTAATCTGCCATAGTTTCATGGATGATGGTAGAGGACATAAGACTCCTGGGTCAGAGATAAAGGATAGATTTTTATCCATGGCAACACTATTAGCCAGAATATTAACATTTTGTACCATTCCTCAAGTCCTAGCTTCCAAATGAATACAGGAAAATACACACCCGTTTTTTGTTCTAAAGAGAGACATTATATTTATCATAATGGATAATCTTTACTCTAGAAGGAAACACTATCTATCTGTGAAGTTTGTTTTCTATCTAAACATCCTTGAAGATATAGTGAATAACCAAAGGCAATCAGTATCTTTGTAAAATGTGCTGGAATGTTGAAAGACCCATGGAAAACTGTCTGTTAATAGTATGAGAAAAATTATCTTCCAATAGCATGAATTTATGAAAACTAGCTCTATTCAAGTCACCTAATGTTATGCTATTTTTACATTTTGAATTACATAAGATAACAGAAGTACTTGAAAAATCAGACACAAATTTTATATTTTAATAAAGTCTTACAGCAAGTAAGTTGACTTTTGACCCATCAGACACAAATTTTATATTTCAATAAAGTCTTAACAGTAAGTAAGTTGACTTCTGACCCACTTGAGCAAAAATAACCCCATACGAACCAGAACATTATAATTTTAAGAAATAATGGGACTATACTTTTGCTAAGCATTTCTTTCAAAGAAAGAAAGAATATTTCCTTTAACATACAAGTGCCCATGAAATATTTTCTTGTTTAGGAAGTGAAATGGAGGGAAAGGAATGGTGATAACATGATTTCTCAGCAGCAGCATACGCAGCATGTATTTTCACACATAGCACACTAGGGGTATCACCATGTTGTTGTGTGCAAATAATTCCCATGTTATAACAATTTTCATATTAATACAATTTCTTTTTAGGATAAGGGGAAAAAATCATAAATCTTAAAAGTATGTTCTGTAAATAATTCTAATCATAAATTGGATTTTTGCCTTTTATGCAGCAATATTTTTTTCCCTAATCACGGATAATACGAGCTACCATTTCTTGTTTAGGTACTTTGCAAATTTTATTTCATTTAAATTTTAATTGAGATATATGAAGGGACTTACATACCTAAAGATGGAGGATCAAGCTTTCAAAACAGATCTACCTGCCTACAAACCTGGTATCTCTTTATTTTATTACTCTGTGTTATTATTTGAGCCGCCTCTTGGCTTGGGGTATGGATTTCCATGAAGATCTTGAAGAAGTCAGTTGTCTTAGTCCCTTTCATTTGGGCATGCTAGGACTCTAAGCTGACTTCTCCATCACTCAGGAACATCACGGAATCTTAGATGTAGAAGAGACACCACTGGACTCCATTAT